ACCGAACCGGTTAGAAGAGGTTCCACCAGTGGACCTGGAAAGCAGGCCACACCTACAGAAGAGGTTCCAAAATTTTTTGAAACCCACCACTGGTACCTGGAGGAGGCCCAGCCTGTGTGATCTTATAGGTCGTTGGGAGGTATGTGGTCCCGCAGATATCCAGGTCCCAAGTCATGTAGGGCTTTAAAGGTAACGACCAACTGCCGATTTTCTGATCAACGAGCTCAGCGTCGTAGCCCCTGAGCCACCGCGTCCCTCTTGTTTGTATTAGGGTTACGTATTTTCTTTGTTTAATTAAAGATTTTGGGAGGGCTGTGCTTGCCAACTGATGACGGAGGAAGTCGGTGAATGATTGCAACCGGGCTATAGAACAGCACAGGGCCACCTTAACAGAAAAACCACAAGCTTGGTGGTGTGTTTGCTTCTTGTGTACATTGTGTATTCAGTGGGACGGGTAGATCCGAGCAAGGGGGGTGGGGTGGGGGACGGCGATCGTGAAAGGCAATCCCTGCTTGCCAACTTCAGCGCACAAAGCTTCTGTTCAGCCCATTTAAAAAAAAGAAAAAGAGAGCCAAAACTTGGCAACCTCGCACATGTCTCCGCTCTGGTTGAAAAAATGGCGCCGAGAAGGGGGGGGAGAGAAAGAAAGAAAGTGAAAGGAGAGAGAGAGAGAGAGCATGGAAGCTCAGCGCAGTTTACCTGATTCCGACAATTTCAGTTCGCAATCCATGTAGTCGAACATCTCGACGGTCAGCTGGAAGCTGCGGAGGTGAAATCAGAGGAACAAGGATCATTTTCTCTCACCCGTAGAAAAAGTCCCCGGTTAAGAAATTAGGGGATTTTAGCAAGACATGGAACAGAAGCGGCTGCCAGGTTTTCCGAAAGATCCCAAGGAACCCCTCGCGACGGGAGACCCACTTACATGTTGTTAACATCCGTTCCGGCAGCCTTTTCTAGCACCTCGTCGGTGACCTCAAGCCCAGGAGGGAATTGAGGATGCTACAGAAGGAAAAGGAGCAAGAATGAAGGAATTGCCACCTGGTTGAATATTCTGCTTGCGGGCTGTCTATAGCAGGGGTGAAATTCAATTTTTTTTCCACGACCGGTTCTGTGGTGGGTGTGGCAGGAGAAGGATACTGCAAAATCTCCATTCCCTCCCAACTCCAGGGGAAGGATACTGCAAAATCTCAATTCTCATCCCACTCCAGGGGAAGGATACTGCAGAATCTCTATTCCCTTCCCGCTCCAGGGGGAGGATACTGCAAAATCCCCATTCTCTCCCAACTCCAGGGAAAGGATACCGCAGAATCTCTATTCCCTTCCCGCTCCAGGGGGAGGATACTGCAAAATCCCCATTCTCTCCCAACTCCAGGGAAAGGATACCGCAGAATCTCTATTCCCTTCCCGCTCCAGGGGGAGGATACTGCAAAATCCCCATTCTCTCCCAACTCCAGGGAAAGGATACCGCAGAATCTCTATTCCCTTCCCGCTCCAGGGGGAGGATACTGCAAAATCCCCATTCTCTCCCAACTCCAGGGAAAGGATACCGCAGA